CCCCGTTCTGCAATGCAAAAAATCTAATTTATTAAAATTTATTAATCTATTTATTAAAATTTGCAACTTGAGCCAAGCCTGGAAACACACCCAGCCTCTTCTACCAGCTGTTTTGAGGCCTCCACTCTGGTCACCTGCAAGGAAAGGAGTGGAATTGGGGGTGCTGCCTCTCCCAACCTGGACAACTTGCTTGGACCCTTGGATTTGTTCCTGTCCCTCCTGGGGGTCTGGGGACAGCTACGTGAGCTCCCCCCACCCCCAGTTTTCATGCTGACAGGCAGAGACCCTCAGACGGTCAGACAGGCAACCCCCTGGACACCGCCAGGAGCCCCTCCCCCCACACACTCCAGAAGNCCCACCCCCAGTTTTCATGCTGACAGGCCGAGACCCTCAGATGGTCAGCCAGGCAAACCCCAGGACACTGCCAGTAGCTCCCCACACATACACACATTACAGAAGGACCCCTTTGTGATGGAGGGCCCAAAGACCACCAGCTCTAAGAACCAGAATAAACGTACCTATGAGGAATGTGGGCACTTCCCTATGGAAAATGGAAAGGAGCAGGTTGAAATGTGGGCAAGGCCCCTTGCTGCACAGGTGGGCCTCTGAAGGGAAAGCGGGCACTACCCCAGTGGTGGGTTTCAAAATTTTCTAGAACCTATTCTGTAGGTGTGGCCTGTTTTATGAGAATGGCTCGGTGGTCATGTGACTGGGTGGAAATGTCTTGGTGGTCGGGTGACTGGGTGGGGCATGGCCAATTTGGAAAATGTGGTGAAATTCACTTAACAACGCTCTTGCTTAGCAACCAAAATTTTGGCTCAATTGTGGTCATAAGTCAAGGACTATCTCTGCCTTCCTCTGCACAGCAGACTTGTCCTAGTAAACATCTTCTCCTTTCTGCCAATTTTCCTTTCTGTTAGAGGCATCAAAATAATCCAGATGATATAAAGTTTCCTGCTGGGGTAGGGGGTTGGACTAGATGACCTCCGAGATACCTTCCAGCACTAGATTGCTGTGCTGTTTCAAAGCATTTTCTAAAGCCATGTCTAGTGCCAGGGTTAACAGTCCGTTCTTCCTCTCCTTTCTCTTTCTCTCTCTTCCCTTCCTTCCACTTTCTTCCTTCCTCTTTCTTCCTTCCTCTTTCTTTTTTCTTCCTTGCTCTTTCTCTCTCTCTCTCTCTCTCTCTCTCTTTCTTTCTTTCTTTCTTTCTTTCTTTCCTCTCTCTCTATTACAAATTTTAGGGATCACATCTAAAGGACCTTTAGAAGTCTTGTTCAAAACTGATTGTACTCCGTGACAAAAGCTTTAGCTCAGATTCGTTAACTTGACTATAAATGGTCCCATTTAGATAATTTAGGTTTTTTTTTTAAGAATATAGAAATGAGCAAAACAATTTAGAAGGTACAGAATCAGCTCTGCCTGAAGGCAAAAAGGCTTGGAGTTCCCTCCACACGTATGCCAGCCAAAACCTCCCAGAAGGCTTCTGCTGGCTGGCGAGCAGAGAGGAAGGCTCCGAGCTTTCTCGCCTTCTGGCAGAGCTGATTCTGCACCTTCTACGTTTTCCCAGGCAGAGTCACGTGCCCGCCTGCCTGCCTGTCTTGCTTTACACATGTTGGTCTGGAGTGGGGAAGGGCCGTTCCTTCTGCTCAGCTTACCCATGGTTCCACATCCGCAGCGGATCTCTTCCTGGCCAAAAGGATGCCTTTTTGGTCCCAGTGAGGCTTCAGGAAGAAACTGGCCGAAGCGGCATCGCTCTCCTTCTGCCACCTGAAGGAAAAGGAGATATTGATACAAAGTCAATTGCCTCACGGCATGGCCGGTGATTACCCTGTCAAGTGGTTACAGCTGATTCAAGTGCCGATTGGAACAGAGATTAGTGCAGAAAATCGGCTTTTCCTTCAGCTGCCCAGGAAAACGTAGAAGGCGCAGTATCAGCTGTGCCTAAAGGCAAAAAGGCTTGGAGCTCCCTCCATGCACCCACCAGTCGAAACCTCCTAGAAGGCTTCTGCTGGCAGGCAAACCGGGGGGAGGGCAGGCCAGGGTAGGGGCCCCAGAAACCCCGATATGGGAAGTCATGATAAATTCTTTCAACCAGTACTGGCATACCGGACAGAACTGGCTGAAACCCACCTCTGCACCACCCCCTCCCCCTCCAAGGACTCTAGCCACCTGGAAAGGCAGTGAAGCAAAGCCCCCTGCGCTGCTCCTTGCCTGGCCAGGTGTATTGCAATTCTGCACATGCCCTTGCCATGATTAATAGTGATGAAGGTGGACATAAACTTGTTATCCATTTCTATTGTTTCAATGGTCATTTTACCGCCTTCCCCTGTAAGAAGAAATGAAGCAACCGTAAATTGGGTTGGGCTTTTTTGCAGAAGGGGGGGGGGGCAGGTGATCTCCAGCTGTAAGCCTTTAAGATTTAAGTAGAAGATGGGGGGCTCTTCTCTCCTTGTCCCCTGAGGAAGAAGTTGGGGTCTTTGGGATGGAAGACAGCATTGAGGGCATCCAAAAGGGCCCAGCCTGCACACCTGCCTCAAGGAAGCCCCTCAGAAGGTGAAGATGCAGCTTGCTTGAGCTGGGGCTAAACTCCTTTGCACCCCAGAAATGAAAGGGGACCCAGAATCCTCTCCTTTGCCATCCTTCTGGAGTCTGGCTCCTCTGGGCCTGAGGCTCTTTGAGTCTTAAGGGGCCCACCCCCTTAGCTCCTCTGGCAAGGGTGCTGGATCTTGGGTCCTGGGGTGGGCAGAGCATCTGTTCCAGCCCCTGCCTCATTCCTTTCCCAACCCCCACCAGCAACCCCGGTCCTTGGCCCAACAGGATCCCATTGTTAAAAGCCAGTCCACCCCTTCACTACATACCAAATGTGATGGAGAAAACCTTTTCTCTTTTCTCTCAAGCATTAGTTCCATTGTCTTGCGCTCTTGTGGCCTGCAAAATGATGGCAAAGCTTCTGAGGCCATTCTCAGATCACTCAGCCCCTTAGGTAAGCCACCTGCCCATCCGGATGGTACTTCTGTCTCCAGGTTCTCCAGCTGATCTCTCCCATGGCCTGAAACCGCTGGACTCTATGGAAGGTGGCTTTGCCCCAGAGGCCATTGCTTTAGTCCTCAAACACTCTCTAAATGAAGAGGTTTCATCCTGGCCTACCAAAGTTAACTTGGGCCCTGACTGACGGTGCTCACCTCAGTCGTTTCTCCCTGAGATGTCAGGGGAACATGCCCTTCTCTCTGGATCTCAGAAGGGGCTGAAGAAACAACCCCAGCTCCAGGGCAGTTCAAGGATTTTGCTGGCTCCCAAGAGCAGCACCGCTGGATCCCTGGCCATTTGGACATCATGGAAGCAAGCAGCAAACTGGGGCACTTACGTTTTCATCACCACGGTCATTTTCACTTTGTCCGCCGTCCGTTGCATAAAAGACACAGGAGTTACTGGCATTTGGGAAAGCATTTCCTTCAGTTGGTTTCCATGACTACAATCAACCACGCTCCATTCGTCTGGAGATGAAAGTCAGCATTAGGGACCCAACTGACATTTGCAGAAAGAGAAATGAAGCATTTGTGCCAGGGAGGCTGCCCATCAGTGGCAAGAGATGCCACTGACCGAGAGGCAGCCTCACAGACCCTTCGGTGCCCCCCCCCCCAACCCTTCTCTGAGGAAGTCATTGAAGTTAAAATGTGCTGTCTGGAAAGGGTTGATTTTATGAGAAATTCCATCCAAATGCATATTTAGGGATGAGTTTTTTTCATACAATGCATCAAAAAGATCCCAGGTTTATTTATTTGCCAGTTTTGTTAAATTGCAGTCTCCTCCCAAGTGAGAAAGGGCCCTCACTGCCCCACTGAAGCGGGGAGGCACAGACCCATTGCACCAGCTGTCCCCTCTGTGCCTGAAGAGAGGCTTCTGATGCCTGGGTTCCTTCGATCAGGGGAGGGTCAGGGAGGGGCACCCAGAGCAGAGACACCCCCCCATCCACATGGACTCACCTTGCTATGATCAATTGTCACAAATAGCTTGTCACGCTTAGCCTGGACGAAGACGCAGAGGGCCAGGCCCAAAGTGAAGAGCAAGGATTTCATCTCACTCGGTCCTTTCTTCTCCTCAGCCAAAGAATATTCTGAGACTCGGAGACAGGTGACTGGAGTTTGCAGGAGCTTCCTGTACCCTCCTACCCTCGCTGGGGCTTGTGTCACCTCCATTCAGGCATGCAACCATCGAGATAGCAAGGTTATTCTTGGCAGGGNTCAGCCAATGGGAGCTTGAACAGATGAGTCTGTGCTGAGAATTGAAACTGAAACAAGACTGATCTCTGTCTGCTCTGAACTCTGAAATGAAACCAACTGTTCTCTCCTGTTTGTGTTCTGTTTGTAACTTCTACCAGTTGAAAGAATCTACTATTGGTATTGTAGATTTATTCATCTATTAATATGTATATAAAGAAGTTAATGAATCCAGATGAATCAGTTATCTATGTGTGCTTTCCAGATTTGATTTTTCTGCAACAAACTCTGATACCCTCCTTGTGTACCATTGTTCCTTATTTAATTCTAACCAGGTACTGACCATTAACTGAGAAGATTCATGTGCATAGGCTGTTAAGCAACAAACCAGCTTAACTGAACCTTCACATGTGGAGTGATCTTTCTTATGTGTCATATCCCTTATTCATACAAAGATGATATGAAGAAGGAAGGAAGCACATAGAGATTTAAAAGATTCTGCTACTTCAGCTGTTCTAATGAAAATAGTTTTAGAGCTATATGGCATTTTTTTAAAAATATGATCTACCCTATTTAAGCTAAGCAAGAAGTAAAACATACTTATATTTAAAATGTATCAGCATTCCAGTGGTGTAGTGAGCATATTAGCAGTTTATCTGAGGATATACCCTTGAGAAAAATACAGAAGCTGTTAGCAAGGCTGTCTCTGAAGTCTGTGAATGAGGCTAGAACAATGTTGACACAAGTCTACTTTAACAGGAGAGGAAAATGTTGTAAGCTTACTTTTTGGAGTTTCTTCATGTCTGTTACAAAGAAAAGTTAAGCCCTTTTCTCTGTCAACTACAGAAGAAAGAGGTGACCTTGTAGTCATATTGATGGAGGGAGGCAGGAAAACATCTGGTTCAGTCTTCTGAGTTTTTGACATAGTACCACTTGAAATAAAAGGGGAAAAATAGAATTTAAAATGATCAAACAATCATGTCAGGGCTTCTAATACAGGTTTCTAAGAGTTAAACGTACATTTTTTTTTAACAAATGCTGAAACTGTGACCTATAAATTGCAATTTCTTGATTTTATACTGAAAGTATTTGAAAATTGTTTGCTTGCAATTATCTGAATTGGAATAAAGAACTATTTTGTCTTTCTAATAAGCTGTTTTATTTTTATTTTTTAAAGTAGCATAGAAATACAAAGATAAATTATGTTTTCAGAAAACAAAATAATTAATTATATTATGTATTCTGAAATCATGGGATTTTTTGTTTTTATTTTTTATTAAATAAGATTGTTTAATGCGAATGGGCTAAAGTGACTTGTTCATGTTCCAGTTTAGAGCCTGAAATTGAGAGAATGGGTGTTCCTTTCCTAAATATCTCATGAAAACAGATCCATGCATAGGATCGATAGTATGGAGAGGTAAGCTTTTGTTACATATAATTCAGCATATAAACCTCAGAATGAAAGTCTATGCATATGCAAGATTACTTAGATGAGTATTAGCTAGCCTATCTGCAAATCTGGCTGTAGTCTTTCCAACCTTTCAACCCATTAATGAAAAAGTATAAGGCTACTGGATCAAAGACCAATGCCTGTAATACAATTAATAAATATACTTGTTCTCTTTACAATAGCTGTGAATCCATTTAATAAATATGCCATTCATTTCTATTGCCTTTTTAGCACAATGTTGTCAAGACTCTGTCAAATGTTTTTTTTTAAGTCGGGAAATACTTCTGTATGTTCATTGCATGCCTAAAATCTATTACCTTTTTTTTTAATGAGTTGTTATTCAGACCACATTTGTTTTTTTGACTAACCCATATTCTAGTAATCACTACACTGTTTTCAAGATGCTTACAGACTGATCGCTTTATGAGCTACCCTGGGATCTTCCAAGGTATCGTTGTCATGCTGATAGATCCCTAGGTCCTCTTTCCTTCGTTTTTCAAAAACTGATACATTTGCCTTTCTCCAGTATTCTTTCAGTGGGTCATCTATTCTTCATGGTTTCTCAAAGACTTTTGGCTACAACTTCAGCAGCTTCTTCAATATAATAATATGTAACCCATCTTGTTCTGGAGACTCATTCAAGATCTGACGATATTGTCAGAATATTTATCAAGCTTAAGGTGCATTCCGGCTCTTTCACAAATGCAAAGTTCATAATTATGTTGAAATAATTACCCATAATATATCAGCTCATCAGACCCAGCTTCCATTACTATAAAATTAGTGGACTCTTCTTCTGCCTCTTCTTTACAAGCCTTATAAAAATAAATACATAGATTTTATATTATATTTTATCTTACAAATTACATTATAAAATAATTGGATTTTGATTTTGTTGGAAAATTGTGATGGGTAAATTATTAGTTTGCACTAAGCATGGGTTCTATTCAGTAATTTTTTAAAAAATAGTTTGATGTTTATTTATCAAACATTATTAAACATTAAAACAGCTGGCAAAAATGAGAAAAAAAGCAGACAAAAGCAAAGCAAAAAAAACCAACAACCCTGAAAAATACATAAAGCTTCAAAGACTATGGAGAGTTTAATAAAACGTTCTATATTATCTATCTTTATACATGAAAAAGCACAAAGCATTCCAGATCCCCTGGAAACAGTACTGTGGGTAATTAGTATAGACAGCCCCAACAGGAATGGCCTTGAATTGTTCCAGCTTTAACCCTTTAATGTGTGGACTAGAAGTGGAAAATAGAATACCAGGTGATTCTGTCTTCTATTGTAGACCATGGAAATGATAATTTGGTGTAACATTTGATGATGTATCCAAATGACATTCTTAATTATGTTACATATTTTCATCCTTAAATCAATCCTCAAAGTTCCAGCTATCACAGCACCCCGGTGGTCACATGATTGTGATCCAGGTCCTGCGCAACCAGTTGAATTTCCAACAATCTCAGCTTTCCTTGACTGCAGTTTGCAATTTTCTTGTGGGAACCTTGGCTTCCCCCACACAAAGTATGCCTTTTTCCAGAACAGGGAAGCTAACAGAAAGTCAAAAGTTGATGGTCACATGAGGTTATTGCTTAATGACTCAAAATGATTCACCTGATGATGTGGGAACTGAGTGAAATGGCCATCACTAAGAGGTACGGTGATGTAATGTGCTTTATAGCCACACTGCTTAGCAATGGAAATTCAGGTCTTAATCACTATCACTAAGCAAGAATGACTGGTAGTACAATTAACTTTATTAAACTGTGTTCTGCTTAACTTTAGCTACTGCTAGATTAATTTGGCTCGGCATGGTAGCAATAGCCCTTAGACTTATATACCGCTTCACAGTGCTTTTACAGCCTTATCTAAGTTGTTTACAGAGACAGCATTTTGCCCCCAACAATCTGGGATGATCTTTTTCCTTCACTAAACAACAACAGCAACAAAAAAACCTTTGTAAGATTGAGGCAAAAGGAGAAGGGGAGAGCAAAGGATGAGGTGGTTAGATAAAGTCATGGATGCAATGAACATGAATTTGGAAAAATTCCAGGAGACCGTGGAAGACAGGAGGGCCTGACGTGCTAGGGTTCATGGCATCCTGAAAAGTTGCACACAAAAGATAGCAAGTGAACAACAACAAAACAAAAAGTTACTGCACATGTCACATTTGATATTGCTATCCCCAGAGCAACAGATGTGACTAAGGTAAATAGTTTTTTAAATAATCAACATAAGAAGATATTACACACTTTTATAATATACTATCTGATAACCCAGAGTTGCCCGGGTATTAATAGATGTAGAAGTGTTTGTCTGAGAGGGAGCCATTGAGATGGGCCTTTCTTCCCCCTACTGCTATGCCCATTCTCCTCTCCCCACCCAGCATTTTACATATATATATATATATGATGAGATAGATACATACATATACATATATATATATATGATGAGATAGTGTAGTATAGTATAGTATAGTATAGTATAGAAAATATTGATATAGAAGAAGATAGACAGATAGATAGATAGATAGATGAAAGAAGATAAGTGACCCAACTAATATATAAGTGACCAAATTAAAAGAAAGCTGACCAGGCATTATATACGCACATCATCAAGGATCTTGATTTTCAAAGAAGGCTCAGAGCTTGTAAGAACCATCCCAGACTCTTCTTGTTCCAAAACATCTGCCCAATAATTTTTCATTTCTGTAGCTGAAAATAAAACATTAAATTTTGCAATCAACCTGTTTTTAAGATTGGTAATAAATATTTCCGCATGACTAGAGTAACAACACCTCCTTTTGAAAGAATATGATTTTCTTGCCTTATATTCTAGGAATGAATATTTTAAATATTGAACACAATACACTTAAAATTAGAAGATATATCTTTATTGAAGATGATAGTTTGCACTATATCATTGGTTCCCAAAGTGGGTGGTACCGCCCCCTGGGGGACGGTAGGATGACTTAGGGAGGCGCTAAGAGGCAAGGGGAGCGGCAGGGGGGCGCTAAGAGGCAAGGGAGATAGCAGAGGAGTGCTGGAGGTGTTCTGCTGTACTGTACTCCCGACTCGCTTAGCTTAGCTCGGAGGCACAGAAGGGAATGCAATGGGACCGAAAGCAAGAGTCCTTCTCCGCGTGGCATCTGATATTCCCAAAAATATGATAAGTAACATGATAATGATTTTATGTTTTTTCCATGTTTAGAATATATTCTTCTGATTTTAATGAAAATAACCTTATTAACAATTGTAAATGTATATAAAATTATGTAAATATTCTGTTTAGCCGAATAAGAACTACGATCATTCTTGCTTATTTTTAATGAAGGCTGATCCATTTATAGTAAAAATGGATGCGAATTACAAGGAAGGTAGGTTGGGTATCTTCGCCACCTTGAATTATTTGTAAAAAATAATAAAGATGGGATATAAACAAATAAGTAGAATTAAATAAATAATATGGATTAAATGTGCATCTTGCTATGAAAAAACAGCTGTGTTACTCAGCCACTGATTAGGAGACAAATCGATATTCCAATGCATGGAGATTTTGAGTTCTTGTATAGAAAAAAGGCAGGACATAATTGTAATGAATAAAATATTCTCTAGGTAAAATACCAACTGGTAATATTAGATTAATAACAAGGGGGTTATTTTTTGGTCAAAATAGTAGGAATTGCATTAAATTGTGCCAGTATGTGAAGAATAATGTTTTGCTAGACATCCAAAATTCTGTCGCTCTGGTTTCCAAAGAAATTCCATGCTTTTTCCTCTGATGAGACAGATTCTCAGAAGACTCTGACAGACCTTTGATTATGCTAAAGGGGCAGAAATATTTTCTATCCTTACCAAAGCATATAACTATAAACTTGACTAGCTCTCCATTCAGCAGATGACAGTGCAATATTGTGGCTTTCTCTTAATTGAAAGGATTTGGGATGAAAAAAGACATCAGATCGTTTTTCTGCTGTTTTTTTTTTT